TTCTTTCTTTCTTTCTTTCTTTCAGATTTTATTTATTTATTTGACAGAGAGAGACAGTAAGAGAGGAAACACAAGCAGGGGGAGTGGGAGAGGGAGAAGCTCGGCAGGGAGCCTGATGCGGGGCTCGATCCCAGGGTTTGGCAGACACTTAATGACTGAGCCACCCAGGCACCCTATTTATTTTTTAAAGATTGTATTTATTAGAGAGAGAGAGAGAGCACGAGCAGGGCAGAGGGAGAAGCAGACTCCCCGCTGAGCAGGGAGCCTCACGAGGGGCTCGATCCCAGGACCCTGAGATCATGACCTGAGCTGAAGGCAGCCGCTTAACCAACTGAGCCACCCACGTGCCCCTCTCAGGTCTTTTAGAATGTGACACTCACACTGTGTTCATACCCAGTCCTGGAATGCAGGGGTCATTTGATTTCCCCTGCAACAAATCCCAGTTACAAAGCACTGATGAATGGAGATTTTACTGAAGGTTTCACAATGAGAATCATACGGCATTCCACACTGCAGAACTACATAACAAATCCCTTCAAACATTTCTGCTCCCTCATCTCAGCTTCTCTGTTGGTACCAGCTACTCCTCTTTGCCCACCAGACGCTCTTTCTCTGGGCCTCTCTTCAGCCACAAACTTGGGCTTCTTCTCTTTCCATAATCTCTGCCACCTTCCTCCGGGACACACCCATCTCTTTTTCTGCAATTTGCATTTTCACACTCATCATCTTTCTTTTTAATTTTTAAAAAAGATTTTATTTATTTTAGAGATAGAGAGTGAGAGAGCAAGTAGGGGGAGGAGCAGAGGGAAGAGGGACAAGCAGACTGCCTGAGCACAGATCCCGACTCGGGGCTTGATCCCACAACCCTGAGATCATGACCTGAGCCAAAATCAAGAGTCGAACTACTAACCAACTTAGCCACCCAGGCACCCCACATGCTCATCATCTTTCAAACAAGAGCGTTCCATTCTTCAGAAGACAGAGAATAGCAGGGCACCTGGCCGGCTCAGTTGGAGGAGCGTGCGACACTTGATCTCGGGGT